CCCTGTGTCCATCCCTCCATGCACTCCTGCCCCCTGAGCTGTCTCCCTGTGCATAAACAGCCCTTCTTTCTCCCATGACTTTTCTCTCCAAGGTGTGTATCTACCTCAGGTAAATGTTCAACTCATATGTCTGTATTTTGTTTGGCTGGAAACCACAGGTGTGGGTTCAATTCCAGACCTGAAGGCCAGCTAGGGGCCAGAGTCTCAGGGGTTCCACCAGGCTCTATTGGACCAGCAAACCTGCCCCTCCTCTTTTCTTTTTCTTTTTCCCAAATGATTTTGAGTTTTGTTCCACAATATTCTCCCTTTCCATCCAGGATCGCCTCCATAGATCCCCCTCTGAGTGGTTGACAGTGGTAGCCAAGCACCATCTAGTTCTTCTGGTCTCATATTCGTATAGGCTGTGGATCGCATGGTGTACCAGTCACTAGGACTAATTCTTTCCCTGAATCTTTGGTTTACTTCTTTGCTCTGGATGAGTAGAGATCCATTGTTCCATCTAGATGGCTGCTTGCAAGCTTTCAAGATCCCAGTCACTCTCGCCAAAGTAGGACGTGGAACAGTGTTTTGTGTAGTATGTTATGCCAACTGAGCTTCATGTCCCCTGTGACTATGGTCCCAAGCCCACAAGTTCAACTACTCAGTCCCTCTGGGCAGCTGGCTGTGACCAAGAAGTGACTACAACCTTGTCCCTTGTCAGCTCTACTATACACCTGGGAATTCTTACAGATCACACAAATACACTCATAAGGGCCATTGTCTGCCAACCCTATACATGGTCTTGGGTACACTCCCTGTTTCATAGACATACCTAATAGTTCAGCCTGTCCACCCATCTATCCCCGTATACCCATGTTTTGCCTTCACTGACAACGCAGTACTGTATGTGCAAAAGGGTTCATCTTTGTTGTCTGTACCTCCCACATACCTGTCGTCTTCTTCCTCAATGCCACCATGTTGATCACTCACATTTGGCACATTGCCCTTCTCTTCACCTAAATACTTATCTGTACCTATCTAACAGTGTTTCTTCCCCTCCCCTCCCCTCCCACCCCTGGTAACCATCAAAGAAAATTTCCTTCTATAGATAAACCTTTCCTTGACTTTTATAATAATGGACTAATACAATATTTGTCCTTTTGTGATTGACTTATTTCACTCAGCATAATGTCCTCCAAGTTCATCCACGTTATGCGGTGTTTTGCAGATTCTAGGTTATTCTTTAGCGTTGCATAGTATTCCATTGTGTGTATGTACCATAGTTTGGTTATCCATTCCTCAGTTGATGGACACCTAGCTTGTTTCCATCTTTTGGCTATTGTAAATAGTGCTGCAATGAACATGGGTATGCATATGTCTGTTCTTGTCATGGCTCTCACTTCTTTAGGACATATACCTACTAATGGAATGGCTGGGTCAAATGGTATTTCTAATTACAACTTTTTAAGGAATTGCAATACTGCTTTCCACAGTGGTTGTACCATTTTACAGCCCTCTGTCATGATTTTTCCATTAGCTTCAACATTGAGCATTTTTGCCTGGCACTAAGGCAGATGCTACAGTTACATAGTTAAGATCTAGCCCCTGAACCTCAAACTGCACACACTTGAGAAATAGACAAGTGAAGAGATGATTATAACACAGTGGATTCCTTCTGATAAGAGGCATATACTTGTGGCTATGGGAGAATAAATAGGGACTTCTAAGATTTATTGGCTGTTGGGAATACACATTGATTGAGGTGTGTTGCTTGGCTTCAAGTTGCCTGGCTGAGTGGAGAGTCTGGTGGGGGTACCACGTGGCAAGAGCGTGGGATAGAAATGCCAGATTTGATCCTGAAAACTAAGATGACTTTTTGCCTTAATTTTCTTTCTTAAAAACAGTGTATACCTAATTTAGCAGATTTTTATATTAAAAACAATATTTTGAAATTCCTAAAGTCTTTAGTATTATACCATAGAATTAAATAATCTGTACATTAACCAAATACTTTTACTTGGCATGGAGTTTACAGAAGACCTTTTCGGCCAAGAGATATTTTTAAATTAAGATCAAATAATCATTTTATACAATTGTTATATTTTTATTATTGTGATTGAAAAGGACTTGATACAATTATTTATATTTTTATATTCTGCAAAAGACCCTACTTGTAACTGAAGTGAGGAGCCCTGGTGGCCTAGTGTTCAACTGCCAAAAGGTCAGCAATTCAAACCCACCGGTGCTCTGGGGAAGATAAGGGAGTCTGCTTCCAAGATTACAGCCTTGGAATCCCTATGAGGCAGTTCTACTAAGTCCTACAGGGTTGCTATGACTTGGAATCCATTCAATGACAATGGGTTTTGTTTTTCTAAATGGGAAACTCATGTTCCCTAGTTCTGGGCAATATTTTTGTATTATTTCTGGTAATTTCCTCCTCTGCTTTTTGTTTAACAGTATAATTGAAGTAGAATAAAAGTTTCAGTAAGAAATTCTTACAGAAAATATGCTTAGAAATTATGAAAATGTCTCCTGGAAAAATTAAGATCTGACTTTGGAAGAGAGTTTAGATAGTGGTTGTCAAATGTGGCTGTACACTGGAATCACCTGCAGGTTTTAAAAATACCTATGTACAGGATGCAACCCAGATCAGTTCAAGAGACATCTCTGTGGATGTGACTCAGGCATTTATTTTAAAATCTCTTCAGGTGGGTCCAATGCGCCAATAAATCTGCAAACCAATGGCTTTAGACAAATATCTAACAATGGAGAGGCTAAAGTTATCATCTGACTCAAATTATTCAAGAAAGTATTTTGACTTTTAAATTACCTAGCCAGCACTGGTTAGGAAAATAACCATTATCCAATCTGTCAGTAATAACTGAATGCACTTCAAAGGACCTAACTCAAAACTTAAAGCTAAGAAAAGGGTGTGGTGCTGTTTTTAATGACTGCTTTTTAAACAAGTATTTTAGTAACATTAGCAACTACAGTTGCTATGAATTTTTCTAGCCTTGTTAAGAAAGCAAATTAAAAATGTAGGTATGTATGAAGTATTAATATGATATGTATTAAGTGAAATTCTTTGCTTCTAAGGGTTTATAATTATTCGCACAATTTTCTCCTTTTGCATATATATTTTTCTGCTAGATGAGAGAAAATAATTGTTAACATGGTCCCAATGTATATTTGGACCAGAAGATAGAATTCTGATAATCAGATATATGACTTAGACTGTAACTTGTCCAACTAAGAATTCTCTGGGCAACACAGAATTTTAATGGACATTACTAACCACCCAAACCTGTATAAACTACAAACAGAACTTTTACATTTTACTTTTATCCTTCAGAAATGAAGAAACAGAGTCCTACTAAAAGAGCACGCTTCCCGATGGCAAGATGTATTCTGACAAACACATCAAAAAAATAATTAAAAAATATCTTCCAGAATACAACCACTGTGAATTCAAAAGGCACAGAAAACTACAAAAACAGTGAGTGCATATTCTTTCATCTGTGCAGTGTTAAAGTTTGCGATTTAACATCCTTCGCCCACTGCCATCCTAAAATAACTAACAGTAAATAACCCACTAAATAATATAAATAGTTAACATCACCGTATTATTAGACTGAGCACTGAAAATCCTATTTTGCTTCATTGGTTAGGACTGTTGAGTTGCTAAAAGCTTTCCAAGCATTAGAAATTGCAGCACATCTACCAACACCAACCACAGGAAAACTGTTTATAAATTGTATTTACTCTGTAGTTCACTAACTCTAAGAAGTCATCAATTGTAAAATGTATCCTAATTCACAGATCTCACAAGGTGAAAAAAATGTCTATGTGTCAGGATCAATAAGTGTATATATCCTTCAAAAATGAGATAAAAGAGGAAAGGGGATATGTGAGTAGATGTATTTATTCATTTGGGAAAGAGGCACTAATCTTATAAAACATTTTGAATTTTTTCCAGAATTAGAACAGCAAAAAACAATTTAATGTTAGAACACTGAGACTTTTTATAGTTAAGCTTTAATTATGTTTTTTCTTTGCAGGTACAATAATCTGAACATGTCTTCAACTAAATTATCTAAACAGAAAACCTGTTATATAGAAATTATGCTCTATTTTTATAAGATATCAAAATACTGTATTGGTAGAAATAAATAAATAACAAAGCCCAACATATTTTATTTCCATGTTTGCTATCAGCCCCCACAAGTATGTTTATTTCTATAATTCATTATAGGTGAAAAACAACTTGAAACATAATAGGCATGCACAATTATGCCACAGTTGATTCTAGATTATACTAAGGTTTATCATAATTTATATATATATATATATATATATAGGTGTATATATATACACACACACACTGCTAGATACACAGAAACAGGATTTGGCTGTTAGAATAACTGAATTATTGAGAGGCAAGTGCTTCTTAGTAGGCTTCTACTGTAAAAGAGCATGTAACAGAGTATTATGGTATTTCGTATTTTGTAAGTCTAACCACAGTCTGTTAAGTCAAAAAACCATTAAGATATACTGACAATCTTGTTCCTGTGTGTGTGATAATTTTTTTTTCTTTACTTTTTCACTAAGAATAGTCCTTAGATTTTTTTTTTTTTGGCATTTTACATTCAGTGTCCATTGGCTCCCTCCGAGAGTATCCGAGAAGGTTCGGTAAATTTTGCAGTGAACAAGTAAAAAAGGGCTGGTGTAGGTACCAAAGCCAAAAGAGGTAAATCTTGCTCTAGTTTATCCACTCTGGAAATGGAAATTATCCCATAGGCATGAAGTAACCAGTGGCTGAAGAGAACAATAAGTCTTTTCTTTCTGACCAGAAGATCATAGCAGTTCTACAGAATTTTATAAAACAAAGAAAAGAGATTACTGGGTTGAAACAGCTATATATGACATCTTAATTTAAATATATAGTACTTGTTTTCACATAAGTTCATAACCTCAGAACCATGGAATGAGCTAAAAGGGACCACAGAAAATACCCAGTCTACCCTTTACAGACAAGAAAACTGAGGTTCCCCATGGTCACATGAATAGTCGATAGCAGGACCAAGACAAGAGCCCATGTCTCTAATCCCTGGTCCAGATCATTGACCTCTAGAAACACTAGTTTCTACTTAAACATATCAATTAGAAAGGAAACTCTACTTTTTGCCCTGATCAACTGTAGCCATGAGTCTATATTCAAGAAACAGGGAAAACAGAAACCCAACTTCCTTAACCTTTAACATTGCTGAGTGCTGCTGCCTAAATAATTAGAAGGGAGAACTGGCATCTGATTTCCTTTCTTTAATACTGCTCCAGAATATGCAGTAATGGGATGGGCCAAACCATTATAAAAGTATTATATAGGAGAGATTCACAAGGGACAGAGAAACACAACTTTCAACTTAATTTAGCAACATATAAAATTCCCAAACTCACTGCTGTTTAGTGGATTCCAACTCATAGTGACCCTGCAGGACAGAGAAGAACTGTCCTGTAGGGTTTCCAAGGCTGTAAATTTTTACAAAAGCAAACTGTCACATCTTTTTCCACAGAGCAGTTTGTGGATTCAAAATGCTGACCTTTTGGTCAGCAACTGGGTACTTTAAACACTGTGCCACAAGGGCTCCTTAAGAAATCTTAATTACCCAAAGTAATTATGAATTGTTGTTGTTGTTGTTATGTGCCGTCGAGTCAAACCCGACTCATAGCGACCCCTCCTTGGGTTTCCGAGGCAGTATCACTACGGAA